ATAAAACCGTCGAGACGACCAGCCTTGAGCGTATATCCCACCATAGCCAGATTAATTCCTTCACCGACAGTCAGTATCTCTTGTTTTTCTGATGTGCACTCCAATCCTCAACCGCTCAACAAAAAATGGTAGATTGAATTGCATGATTTATTGGAAAGAAAGAGAGAAAAGAGAGAAGGAGGGCTTTGCTTGGATGTTCTTAAAAATTGGGTTGCTGACTTTCGCGAAAATATATCTTCAATTTCTTCAAAGGTCGGGGAGAAAGTGATTATTGGCCCAGTCTTGAATAAGAGCCTAGCAACAAATCTCTTGAGGAAGAGGAGGCTGATAGTGAATTTTTTCACGATGATATGGATAAGTCCTTACTTCTAGAAGGTAATCATATCCAGGCTGGACTGGACCGCGGTTTTTACCTTGCTTATATTTGCCATTACATTCGATAATATTACTCGTCCTCGAATTGAGTAGGATTTGAAGACTATCAGTAGATCTTAACTGAAAGTTTTACTGAACCTGAGTCACTTGGAGTGATTAAGTACAAATAGATAGATTTTCCCACAATGAGATAAATAGACCTCATGAAGCAATTGAACTTTTCGTTTTATAGGCAGATTTCCGAGATTATCAGGTGAGGTGTATTCTGCTCATTTCGTTTGAAGTTGAAATCACCTTAACCAAAATAGGGTGAAGTAATTCCAGATAATTTAACTTAGACTTTCTCTCCAAAAAGATGATCTTATCGGGTCTGGACTAGAAAGGAGTGCAGTTTCGACCTTGCCTGTACTGGTCTTACAGTACCCGCTGCGTCATTCTATACCGGCTTGGGAGTATACGGACGATGGTAACTCCAATTAACGATAACACTTAGCTCGGCCTCATCAAAGTCACATGTATTGTGGGATTGTTGATGGAGCAAATGTGTGTTTGAGGCTCCATTCGGCGAAGTTGTTTATTTTCGATATGACTAGGTCTGGAGTAGATAAGAAATTTTTTAGTAAAAGCCCATTTACATTATGTGAAAAAGTGTTCAATGAAGAAATGCGAAAGTCGATCCAACCGGAAAGGAATATTGGATTCGTCTAAGCCAGCTGTCCATTTGCTTGACTAAAACAAAAATGTGAAAGCGGATTTAGAGACAATCTTTTTCGGCTGAAGTTAATGGGTAAGTGCTTTTGTCCATCAAAGGACTGATATCATAAGGGTGGGCTATCAATTTAAAGCCTTATTTAAGCTAACGAATAAAGAATACTCATCTGCTTAACCATAAATGCTATGTATAAACTGTGATCCTATGCAGTTTAAGAAGAGATAAAGCGATTTAATAGTTCGAATCATATGGCAATCTAGAAGCATGTTAGATAAGTGTGCTTATGGGCCTTCGAATGCATCAATGATAAGTCAAAGTAATTATAGAAGAATGTTACATAACCACCGCCAACCCCATTCCTATTTTGGACCATCACACCGATTGCGTAATGGCAGACAATCGGCTGAGTAAGCGGATGCAAGTTGTGTCTGTTTGAAAGGGATACGAAGTGACGTAAATTAAAAGAATGATTAGAAAAGACAAGATGAATCGCTTCATATTTTCATGCGTTGTATTTAATCACTTCGAGCCATCCTGACATTCGATGTCTGCCCTATTTTTTGGCTTACTTGTAGACATACGACACAGCAAAAAGACACGTTGAAACCCATCCGATTTCATGTACACTTTGTGCAGCGAGTTGCGTTACCTTGGCTTTGCCAAGCCAACAACCTCTACATGCAATTCTGTGTTCGGCCACCGATTTTCGAATGAGACAACCAGTATCTCTAGCACAAAACCGGCCACATGAACACATTAGCTTATAGCAAAATGATGAGAATATGCTTGAGATGATGATAACATGCTCCGGCGATGTGCACGATTTGATGAATGAAGCTTAGCACGGTTTCACCGGAATCGAAGGAGATTGCTCCGAGGACAGTGTGAGCAAAAATGGTCCAGTAAGACCAACTGCAACTGACCAGAAGATATACGCTTTAACCCTCTGGTGAAATCCATAATCACACACACGCACATACACACAGACACTTTCACTGGGAATGGAAATCAGCTCAACAAATAGAAACCAAAAGATTCTTTTATGCGTAACGTGACTTTAGAATTTGTTTGATATTTTTGTCATGACTTGGTTGTATTGTCATGGAGACGAAGAGGAACCCCCCTTGTGCACAATCCATAGCCTTGATAAACATTTTCAGAGTCGGACCGTGTGCAAGAAAAGGAGCAAA